GCCTGGGAGGCAGGGGGAATTCTTAGGGTTGGGTATGGATTACAGGCACCTTCTCCCTCCTGCCTCCATCAGTGACACGTCATGGTGGTAAACAGAGCCTTCCCCAGGGAAGTGTTACTCAGTGCAGCCCAAGGCTATTCCTCACAGCACCATCCATCCAGGCTGCACATTGCTGGGCTGCTTCATGCAGGGAAGGTTCTGAGCACTTAACATCTGCATCCTCACAAGAAAGCTTAGCAGGAAATATGCATATAAATAACAAACACATAAAGATTTGGTTTTTGCACCCTGCAGATTGCAATGCTTTCCTCCAGACAGTCAATGTAGTACCCTGAAATCTCATCTGCAAGGCCTTGGTGTATTGAGGTAACAGAGAAGTCTGCAAAGAGCAATCCTATATCTATAGTCCTGAGGAGACACTTGTGCTGAGGATTGGTAGTTGTTCATTCTTTGCATGCAATTTTCTTTATTTACAGGACATTCCTAGAGAGCAAGATAACACAGGCTAAATTGGACCATCCAAGTGTTCTGCTACTATTTCTGCAAATCCTGTTGTAGTGCAAGGATAATAGATTGGTTCCTCACACATCACAGCATCACTAAAAACAGAAACAAAGGCTCATCCATCAGTGAGGTTGTTTCAGTTGTCTCAGCAACATCAGAAAGACCCGCTCCTGGATCCAGCTATTAGCCAATGTACTTGCACAGTACTGCTGCCCATTTACTGTTGTTTGGGTCAGAATAACAATTACAAGAGGGAAGGAAGACTTCTTGTCTCAGAGGACATACTAGGTCTTCTGTAGCAGAAGAAACTATAGCAGAACAGCCTTTTACATTGAGAGCTAGATGTTTGTCCTTCTAGGCACATGCCAGGTGATTCATGCGTATCATTATGGGAACACCTAGCAACTTCAGAATGGGATTAAGTGATATTGCATATCCTCCTGTATACATTAAACTATGATTAATCACTAAACTTGTACATAACACTTTCTAACTCTTGTACTTTCCCCTCCAAAGCGCTTTGTTGCAGGAGGTGCCAGAAACCAGCCAGAATACCAGCACAAGTTTCTAGGCCTCATATTTGTGTGTATGCAGTAAACATAACTCCTTGTGGTTTCTTCTTTGCTGCATAAAGAGCAAAAGACTTGAAATATGTGACTAATTACAATGTTTTGCAGAACTTGAAATTTGCTTCATCAGATGGACAGGGATCACAGTCAGGGAAAGCACAAAGTGAAATGGGGACTTCACGCTTTGTTATGTGCTCTGCTCCAGGAAGGACAACAAGCCCTGCCATCAGTGGTGCAGACAAACAAATCTTTTTACCTACCTTTAACCTAGGAGTTTGTTTGCCTTGGGTTTGTCTCTGACTGAAAAACTCAACAGGTGGGTTTGTCTACCTACTCGTTAGCTATACCTCCTTGTGCAAAGACCCATCTTCCTCCATCACACTCCACACAGTATTAGCAGCGTCACAGTCAGAAAACAGCAGTATCTCAGCTATCAACCTCACAAAGTTAATGCTTGTAGAATTCAGGCTTAATACAAATAGCCTGTACATTCTTCATCCAGCAAAATCTGTGAAAGCAGGCTTGAAAGAAATACACATTGGCTACAACGGCCTGTTTAAAATCCAAATTAAAGTGAGTACTCAGAGAAAATATTTTGTAGCATACACCCAAATTTATGACACAACAACAATAATAGTAATACCACCTAACTTTCATCAGTAGATCTCAAAAGCGTTTTATGAAGAGATTAAGCATCCTTACAGCAGCTACTTCGCAATAGGCACGTTCAGCTGCTGACAATATTTAAATTACTGAAACAGATTAAGTGATATTATTAACTAATCACCTGCCAAGCCTTTCACATCAAGTTGCTACCTGGAGCAAAATATCATGCTTAATTTTGGAACAATTGAAGTTACGGTTTATAAGGGCAACTGCAAGCATAAACAGTAAGTCTGACAGCACAAATGAGTCTGCATGGCCTCATTTCAGTTTTGCCAGCTGTACATGCAGCATCTTTTCAGTCGTACAGATGGTCTTCTGCAGAAGTCAGCGGAGGTGCAGGGAATGGAAGCATCTTGGGGAAAAACCTATGCTTCGAATCATCTTCAGAAAGATAATCTGAATGAATCTGTCCAGTATTGACAAGTTTAAATTAACAGAATCTGAATACCTCAGTGCTGGCAGGGGAAATAGTGCTTCAGTGGATTTGCCTGATGGAGATGGGAAGACATAGGCCTACTCACAAGATGAAAAGCTACTTTCTTCTTCCATACTGTTGCCGAATTTTGTTATGGTGCAATATCAGGCTATACTAGGTGGTAGATAGTGCATTAGATATGCACAGCGGGTGGTAGATGTATATTAAGATACTGTGTGAAGCAATAACGTTTCCTAAACTTTCTCTTTCTTCTACCTAACACACAATGTAAAAAGAATGAAAACTACCCACAGGTTAGTGATGGGTAGATTTGAAAGGTCTGTATGCACTTGGAGATGTTTTGACTACGTAGCAAGTAAATAGTCTTACTGGCTGTCATGGTCCTACTAAGTCATACAATGTTTATGGACTTATATTTCATTTTAAAAAAATTAAATATTATTTTTAAAGTGTTAATTATACAAAACAAAAATAAAATACGTCTTACCCTCGCAGTGATGCAAAGCTTAAAAATATGGCCAAGGTATGTTTTTAAAAGCTCAGAGCCTAAGGGATATATAAAATGTCTCAAGCTGCCTTCAAAAGGATAAAATACAGCCTGCAGTATCTACAGCTTTCAGTATAGTGTACCTACTTCTTCTTTGAGATGATCAAGTGTTCAAGATCACAAAATTTGGATGTTCCAAAAACTAGGGCAGTCCTCTACTGAGGCTCCAAGAAGCAGAGGGAGGCGTTGTAGGACAGGTTACTCCACGACTAACTCAGTTTGGTGGCAGAAAACAGGCAATGCCAATAGATATTTTGCACCTGGACAAGAGAAAACCAGTCATAAAATAAAATAATTGATGGAACGAAAGGCAACCCTACAAAACACAGACTCTAGGATGCCTCTGTCACAGAATGGACTTGACTTCACATAGTTATTGCAGGTGTATTTGTGACAAGTCTTTATTTTGAAATGACTTTAGATCTCTGAAAATGAGAATATAGGTATGCAACAGGCATCTTTGAGATAGAGGAAGCTGACTGCAGAGCAGTATAATGCTTCCCCACTTCCAATTCCTATATTGCAATTAAAAAAAAGAGCAAAGAAACTTGGTTTTAGAAGTTCATGGATCTTTCCCTTTTTGCAGCTCATGTTCAGCTCACGTTTTGTCAAATCTTGCAAAACAGTTGCAGCAGTTTTCACATGAGCACATTGCAGTGGAATCAGGTTATACTCTGTTTTCCCTCATACCTCAGCTGTAGGTGGGGCCTTTGTGTAAGTGCCAGGACGAGTCAAGCAATGACTGTCAGGTAACCTCAGAATGTAATTAAAATGAACACTGAAATAAAACATATCTGAACAAGAAGTTTTAAAAGCTTAAGAGTGATGGCAGTTGCCAGCAAGCTAGATTTTAACAAAGGAGTAAAAATCTCACCACAATAGACAGGAAGATGATGATATTCTAGAAAACAACTTTGGGTTTAACTGTATAGCAGAATGTTACGAGGGATTGTCCTTACATCTTAAAGTTCTCTTATGGTCCCTAAAACACACAGCACAGCACGCAAAGCTTTGCTCAGGGAAACCTGCATTTTCAATTTAGCAGGAACCAAATAACTGCACCAGATCTTTGTAAAACAGAGATGACTGCACTCATCAGCTTCTGCATGCAGGCACCTGCCTGCGGGCCTGTAAGTGAGATTGTAAAGAGGGCCATGACACATGTTAGTACAAGGCTACCAGCAATCATTTCCATTAACAGAACACTACGATAACTGCTATATCTGCAACTCCCATTCTTGGACACGTCTCCTCAGTTTTCCATTCACAGCTCAAGAAAAGCAACTCTACCATCTTCATCCCAGCCCACGCCAACTAAAACACCTTGGTCACTAGAGATGCACCACCAACTTTTTTGATACATCAGGGACTGAGGCAAGGCTTTCCTATTCCTAAGAGGCACAGCACACAGCCTCTAAGGGAGCTGTGAGGCATCACTTGCTTCCAATGTGTCCCACCACAAGCTAGTCTACCCTACACTTCCAGGCAGAGCTGCTCTCTGTAAACACTGCTAGTTAGTCTATTACCAGAGGCTGTAACCAGAGATACCTACCAGCAGACATGCTTATATGGAGTCTTTAGTGCAGAATGACACAAGTCCCCTGTGCTGAGTGCTTTAGCCCCACAGGGGCTAAATTTGCTACTCCTAGTCATTATTTTGCAGTTGAACTTAAACATGCACTTGGTAATTCCCAGCCTACCTAATTGATTTTACTTTGCTCTCTTCTAGAATATTTTGATAAATTGCTGGATTCTGCAGTGGGATTCTTCTTTGGATTTTACCACAGTTATTTTCTTTGCAACTTCTTTGTCTGCAGCTCATTCAGAAGAGTGTAATTCTAATGTTTGACATTCAACCATCAAAATATTTAAATCAGAAGCCTGGGACCAATGGCATGTTTGTGTTTCCCAGGACATCAGCCTAAGTCTTGCCCTAATATTACTGCATGATCATAATATGCTTTAATATTTAGATACCATCCTCCATGTCAGAGGATTTCCATACCCCTACTGGAAGGAGACAATTTCATTATCAGCATTTTTAGAACAGGAATCCCTCCCTGTTTGATGCACAAAAGTACAATGACTTGCCTTTGCGTCAGGCTGATAGCAGAGCTAAAAGAAGAGCTCTGATTTCATGTCTCCAATCTAGCATCCTGGCTAAAAGAAGCACCAGTTAGTTGTATCCTAATACCTCTGCATATAACATTTACTTTACTGGTTTCTATTTTCCAACAAAATCAGACTGGGCTATTTTTGGCTAATACACGATACTTACTTAGGATCCTCTGACGTGGTGTCCACTTCTGCCTGTGGACTCAGATTCAACGAGAGTACACACTCAGTGCAGATGCATACAAACAAGTGGTTTTGGTGAAAAACGTCCCATTGCAGGATAAGTCCATTTTGCTAAGTGAAAGGCTGGGAAGCGATCTGTCTTTCTAGGTCTGATTTATTTCTATTACCACATGTTATCTCAAAGAAGAAAAAGCCAAATGCTTAGTGAAGTCGTCCTCGTCAGCGTTTATTGCAGAGCTGCTTCTGCCACACTGGCTTCACATCTTGAGTTCTTGTATGCAAAACAAAAGCAGTGGAACAGTCCAGCTTGATTGAAGCAGAAATTTTGCCCTCAGATCTGATCCTAATCCCTTTTGGGATCGCTTTAATGCTATCAAGGCTTCCATGTCAGCTTTCTCCAAAGAACAGCTTAGGGTGACCTCCAAATGCAGAAGCATGTCTGAAAATACAAGGAGGAAAAGAAGGAAACTCTGTAAAAGAAAAATTATCAGACATTTTGCTTTGATCTTACTGTATTGTTTTGATTTTTTTTCTTTTCTTAAAGTTCAAGTATTTTCTAGCCTGTAGCTATGCTAGCAAAAGGAATGTGTTAACACGCCCTTCTGCTTGTTGATGATAACTATATTAAGATAGGCTTTAGATCAAAAAGCAGATGGAAAAACAGAGGTATAGTTTACAAACTTTATTAAGGAAGAAAAGTCTAACTTAAAGATACCTTGTAAACTTTTATCACTACTGTTAATTATTAAAGCACATGGACTAATTTTGCATCTGCTGTTGGAAGGAGTTGATAAGGGCACCTCTGAAGAACTGCAAGTATCTTGCCTGCCTATTGATTTTGACTTCACCACCCCCAGGTAGTTTGGTTTCTCTATGCAATAAAGACAACCAGCTTGTAGTAAAATGCCAGGATGGGTCTGGCTTTGCATGCAAACAAAGCCCAAAGAGAAGCAATTTTTGCTGAGAATGTTTCTCACACTGAAAATGCTAATTTGCTGGTATAAGCTTTAAATTGGAGCTGTACAAAACCCAAAGAGAATTGCTGTGAGGTAAATGACATAAGGGGGTGCAGGAGTAAATAAATACCTTGGTTAGATGTATTCAAACACAGTAGGCAGTATTTTCGCCTCTCCTCCTCCTCCCTCCAGGAGACAGTGAGAGGCAAATTACATTACAAACCTGTTAAGAACTGCAAATATTAAATGAATTACAAAAAAATCATTACAAGCAAGCTTTATCTTCTTCAAGCAAAAAGGAGACCGAGAACCTCTCAGTTCATTTAGTGAAATGGCTTGCTTGGTGCTGAGCCTTGCCAGCCCTCTATGCTTGTGAAGTCCAAAGGCCTGAAGGACCACTAAGATTTTTGGAAAGTGGCAAAGTACAGCAGGTCTAGTGGCAATAGCCACTAGAGGGCACAATTTTTCAAAATTTGGGGTGCCCATAGCACTCAATAAAATCAATTAACTGGTGTTGTGGACAGAGTAAGTTAGAGAACACCTACGCCTCTCAAGTCATGTTTGTTCAAGACCTAATGCAGGTAATATATGTCTTGACGCTACCACAAATGCTGTTCCTATGTAATTACAGACAGAATTACACCACAGAAGACTCAAATCCTATAGTAAGAGCCTTCTTTGGAGTACAGAAATGCAGATTTTCATCTCTCATTTGCTTTGTGTTTTGTTGTTTTTTTGTTTGGTTTGTTTTTTGTTTTTTTTTTTTTTTAGTTGAGCTTCCAGTAGACATCAAAGGTAATAGACCACCTTTCTCATTATTCCTCCATATATGAGTGCAAACATGTACACTCAATTCTTGTAACTCAAATACAGCCCCTCACAGGTCTCTTAGTTTGGTTGACGAGATACGATTTAGCAGGCACCTTTCCTCTGCTACCTTTGCCTTAATAGCATTGCTACCTTCTTTCTGCAGTTTGCTTTTTCAGTCAAAGAGAAATAGATATATTCAGTTTGCCTGTTTGTTCAGATTTAGTTTTAGAAAATCCATCACTTCCTTTCTCATCAGCTATAGCTGGATCATCCAACCTTATTCCCATAAAACACAGGTCTTATATAAAATAGAATCCTGTCTCACCAACTCAATGGATGTGAGGTTTAATATACTGTCAGCTTGAGAAAAAAAGATAAGTCTAATTAACAAGAGGCTAGTAACACAATTCTGCAGTTTGAGATCATGGTCAGAATTTACTGAGTGCCTTTCTTTAGTAAGATCCTTTTAGTTAGTAGTGTCAGTTGTGGCAGTGCAGTCACAACCAGGAGAGCATTTGACATGCATGGAACAACTTTTTTTCTGACCTAAAGCACTTTAAGGGAAGAAAAAAAGAAAAATAAATAGAACTGCAACTTGTGCATAAAGTTCTGGGCATTTCTTCCTGTGGATACCTGCTTAGTCAGCATTTTCTTCCTTCCAGATCATTTTACCTGTCAGGATAAAAGTGCCCAACTAGGTAATACACCTCAGTCAAAAACTGTGATAGGATCTTATAGGCTGGTTTATGGGATGGCAAGGCTGTGCAGCCCAGCCTTTGTGAACACTGCTTGTGGATAGATTCTGGTTTGAAAAGCTAGGCTGTTTCCACTGATCTTTTTACTGCCACATTACTTTCTCAGAATGAGTGCACATGGGACAGGGTGGGTCATAGAAACAGCATGATATGTATTTCTAAGGAAAAGATTGTATGCTGCTACCACTTGTGCCAAAGCAAATACAAACACCCTGCTAGAAACATAAGAATTTTGCTCTTAATTTTCATTGATGGGGATGCTTAGAGTCTGGAGGCCCAGTCTCACGTGCTGGGTGCCAAGTGCTGCTGGCTGTCTCCCAGTGCAGGCTGCAGAAGGGTGCCAGACCCAAGCCAGGAGCTTGTGCAAGGGGCCACAAGATGGCAGAACCCTGGTGCCCCTGGCTGCAGCTCCTAGTACTGGGTGGCACTGGTTCACCCAGCAGGCTTCTGCCTGCAAAGGCCTTTCTCTGTCCTTTGTCATCACATTATGAGAGGAGAAAAGGATCTGAGGTGTAGACGTGGGAAAGCACAATGCTACTTTCCCTAGGATAAAACGGGGGCCAGAAAACACAAGATAACAGGGTGCCACAGTGGGGTCAAAGGACAGGGGCTCACTATGATCAGGCTTGTTAATGGCTAACCCAGCTCATGCACATCAGAAGAGAACAGAAATCCCAGAACATGGCCCAAAGGATAGATTTTTCCTGATGTCCAGGTTGAGAGAAGAAGGAAAGGTGGAAATCAGTGTCAAGTAGCTGTGAGTTTGTCTCCTTCATTTAGCTGACGGCCTTGCCTTGAGGAATTCACAAACCCTGTGGCTAGACTTGAAGGCTCTGCCACTCAGAACTTCCTAAAATTAATATATACACCTTCCAGAAAGTTCCCATCTTAATCTCCATTGACGGATTTAAGTAGATTATTTTATGTTCTCTGATGAAGCTTGCTTGTCAACACTAACTTTTGGGGAAGAAAAGACAAATGAAAAAAAAGCAGTCATACAAACACTTATACTTACAGAAGATAGCAATAAAGCCAAGACAAGTATTAGAATGGTGATTTTATGGAATGTTGCATTTTATTACTTCTGCATGTCAAGTAAATGTTCTCCAAAACCAATCCCAGGAACAAAGCAAGGCTTACTATAGGGGAGAGCTGCTGCTCTCTCTGAATATCCCTCTGCAAAGGACCAGCAATAAGAGAAATACAGACCTAAAAGAAAGGCTTTGGGTTAAAATGATGTTAGTACTTCTAGTAGATGCATTGTAACAGTAGAAGTTTTCTTCTGCTTGTGACAGGGTTGGCAGGAACCCAGAATTGCTGGAGCACTGAGGTACACACCTCTGGGTGTTGATAATTTGGTAATTCTTTGGTTCAAAAGAAGTCTAGGTGTATTTCAGGTCTCATCTGTGATCTGACTTTGGAATGTATCATCCTTATATCCTCAAGCGCAATTGCAAAATATGTGGTATTCCCAAAGGTATAACTAGATGGAGGTCTTTCCTGATGTATAGAATATACCTGCCCACTTTGCTCCCACATGTACTACTATCCTCTATCTCTTTTATTTCATTCACATTTTCCAAAGTTTTAGCTTAGAAATCCTTGTTTGTGTCTGACCTTATCAGCTCATAAGCCTTATGAACCATCCCTCTGAGTACATCAGGACATCCCACACTCTCTCAGTTAGGGACATGAGTGAGTCTCTTAGCAGCCAGTCTGTAGAAAGTACCCTGTTGGAGGAATGCTTTGGACATGAACATACAGCTGTTACCACATTCACATGATGTACTAACCTTACATGACTCCAGTAGTAACTCTTTTTATGGTTCTCTGTGCCTGGCTGAGGAATGTGCATTGTCCAGACTACTACAGGAAACACTTTCTTGTTATTCCTGGGCTAGGACTATCAGATAGGCTGACCATGCACCATTTACTCCAATGGATGCTACAGACGGTCTGTGTCTGTGCTCAGTGCCTCTTGTTCACAGTGAATGATTACTTTGCACTAGGAAGGAAATAATGGCCTGAGTCAGATTTTTAGGTCCAAACCTGAAGGAAAGAACACAGCCAGTGCTGGAGCAAATGCAGATTACGTCCAAATGTCCGTTATAATCACACTTGCATCGCAGTGGGATTTCAGCCAGCCATTTCTGCATTAGCTGCCTTGTTTTCCTGAGAGGAATTATTTTTCCTGGATAGGACTGCTCTTTTTGGCTGATGAATTTTCTAGACATTGAGTGTGACTGTTCAAATGGTGCGGTGAAAGTTATTAGGGTTATCTGTCCAGACCTTAGACATGAGTTTTCCATGAACAGCAATGTGTTTCATTTTCCTTTGCCCTTCAGGATTCTAATTGTGCTTGCATTACAGTTTTCCAGTTATTTGGCACACTGAAATTTCGTATTTGGGAAAGGAAACCAGGGAAAGAAATTCCGTTCTGCTTCTTGATCTTATTTGTCCCTCAGCATTTCAAATTGAGAGATCTAATGTGATGGGTTAACTCACTAAATTCTCCATTATTATTATGGCAAACAACACTTTCTCTCCTGCTTCTTCAGTTCAGGCCTCCCTGTCAGTATTATCTGGGGGAAGGTAAGGCAAAAAGAAGAAGCAAGAAGAGAAACTAAAGGGAACCAGTGCCATGAAGCAATGAGTACTCAGCGGCACGAGCAGTAATGCCCTATTTGACACTCCTCCCACAAACTTGTGGATCACCTGCTCTACAGGCTTGTTGTGGCCCCTAAAACACTCTCCTTGCTGATGTTTATGCTTTTGTGATGGAATTTTTCAAGAGTTATTGCCAAGAGGAAAGGTTTGTGGCTGAGAGCTGATTTTAGCCAGTGCATCAAATTCTCTCCAGGATTAGAGATAGTATTGTGGCTACTCCAAGCTTGAGGAGCAGGACAGATCTTGAGAGCTTGGGATTTCTGGCCAAGTATTTTATCCTGTTGTGACAGAAGCTTATTTATTCATGCCCTTTTTTCTTAGCAAC